AAGAAGCTCTGTCAAAGGAGCTGTTAGATTTGCCCAAGAAGTGTATCGTCGGATTACAAATATTGAACTGGATGCTATAGAACAGAATTTCCTGACCACTTATGAGTCATCATCGAATTCACTTTTGTTTTCAGTTATGGCAGATGTGTTCACTAAGACTTTGCAAGAAGCACTTATTTGATGTGTGTTTTAGGCTGGCATTGTGGCATTGTTTAATGAAACCATGAAAGGAGTGGAGACGAAACCGCAGCGTAGGGGCGGGAACAGTTTCTGAAAGCAACATCTTACTAAGAGCTACTGGGGATATACAGCGACTTGTTTTAATGGAAAATAAAGAGAGACCACCAACAAATTGGTAGAAGCTCACCCGGTTTTTCAGTGTTTTGGTTCTATTACTCAGTCAGTCAATTTTATTAACTTGAGTGAAAGATAATATATAAGTAGCAAGATAATGTATAATTTTTCCAAGTGCCAAATTTCACGGCTTACTGCACTGTGGCCTTGCTCCTTAGGGGTCCATAAGATCATTAAAGCAGACACTGCTCCACGGTATTGGAGCACCTGGGGTGCCACGTGCATTTCGCGTCATTTTGTTCGCTAGAGCTACCCCACGTTCGTTATTAACGAATTTTCGTGAACTGGTATATCATATATGCCACTACTTTAACAGTATAGAACGCCAGAGTATGTCAGACAACGCATAACTCCTCCAAAACCACATTTTATTAGTCATGATTAGAAGATACCTTAACACATTGGAAAAAATATTTATATCCTCAGTACGCGTGAATGAGCTAATGAAAATCTGCTGTCTTTGCTCATACGACTATTTGAATCGGCGACAATTCAATGTCTGATCAGAATAGACTTGCTTAAAAGGGGTGAAGTGCGCTGCAGGTTTAATGATTTGGAGATATCCAATGAGGAAAAGGGGAAAGCGAAAGGACGATCGAGCAGTGATGAAATCAGTACTGTTGTGCAGAGGAGGTTGTTACTCATCGTTGATTAGGCTACGAATGTGCATTGGCCGCATCAAAGACTGTCATCGCGAACTGGATTTCTGATCCAGTTATTCACGTTTCATCTTTTGGACGCAGAGTATAGAGCTTTATTGCTTGGGAACGAAGTAGGAAGAGCTTGACCATGAAGGACATCTAGCTGTAGATACTGTCATATATAAAAACAAGGTTTTCCTCGTTACTGATATCGAAAAGTAGATCAGCGTCGAACTCTACGCTCTCTTGAAACTGCGTTTCAGAAGTACTATGAGTACCTCATTTCATGGAATTGTATTGTAGAGGAGAGGGGCTTGAGCACTTAAGAGGCTACAAGGTTTCTTTTTTCTCCTTTTCAGTTGCTCATTCGTCTCCGTATTTATTTATTATTATTTGTCGCAATTTCTGTCCTACGGCCTCGCTAGATTCGTTTCCATCGGCTTTTAGGTAGTGATCACATGTCTCTGTACGTCACCACCTTGGGCGACTCAAAGTTTGTGTCATGGTCGTTTCTGAATGGTACCGAACAGCAACAGAAAGGTCATTTTGCATATCTGGCAGCCGGACATTCGCCAGCGTTTTGGAACTTTACTGTAACGATAAAAGTGAGTATTTTTCTGTTTTAACGCCTGCGCAGCAGTGTGACACAACAGTTGTTTAAGCGACTACTGCGTATCGTAATGTTAAACGGAGTTTCGTAAACTGTGCTATTCCATGTATAGAGATAAGCTGACCAAGAAACGAAGGGAGAATCACCGTTGCCAGTTAATGATTGGGTAGAAGAATTGCACACCTTTGGTTATAAGTTATCAGGCGATTGCCATCGTCGTATTTATTCGTGCATTGTTCATTAACTTCCAGTTTTTCGCGACGTCTGCTAAACTATTCTTGTTATCAGCTTAACGGTTCCGTTGCTATATTTCAAGGTCTCAACCGTAGCACAGCCTGCTGTTGACAGTCTAAGCACAGGCGGATACGCCTGTCAGGTTAATATCTATAGTTTCTAATAGATAAAAATCATTTCTTTGAAATTTCGTCTGATTAGCGAAGCAAAGTTTGATCTTTGAATATTCTTCTCGGGCACTTGGTAACGGAACCGAAAATGCGGCAAAACGCAGCTTAATAGTACAGCATAATATAACAGGTTTCATTGAATGGTAAGTTGATGCTGCGTTTAGGGTTGATTCTCACAGAACTTCGTCAAGTTGACTTT